GATGCTTTGTTATGCCCAGGGAGCAGGGCTCTATGTGTGCCCATTGCTCAGGAATGTCAGGAGTCCAACCTCTTTCAGGAATGGTTATAGGCTGACATATCTCACTGCTTTGCTCCTCTGATCTGTGTCCAATATCTGTTTCTGATTCCTAAGGAGCTGTTGCTCAGACTACAGGCATCGTTTCTACTCCACCGTAGATTTCAGAGTCACAAAAACAGATCCCCTGGGTTGGAGGAAGGATGTGAAGTCCTGACTACACTTTATAAGGCAAAGTAGGAACCTAAATTCCAAGGCAAGGTTGGCTCTGTCTCCTCATGATATCACAGTTCCCCTTGCCTGTTCCAGACTTCACAGGGGCACTTGTGATCCAGAATCAGCACTTCGTGGGCAAGATTTCCGTAAGTGTTTACCCCCAAAGAAAGATTTAGGGCTGTCTGTAGTGATACATCCAACTCTCTAGCCTACTGGCATATGCTGAGAATTAGGCCGAAGGGTTGTGTTTGTTCTAAATCACAGCTATTGAGAAGTTATGCCCTGTCCCATTCCTGGGCTCTTAAAGCTGAGCTGATTGTCCTCATGGCACATAATACACTCCTTTAGCAGGAGAGGTTTGATGCCAGCGTCTCACTGCAAGAGAAGGGACAACACTGGAAAAAGACTTTTGTGCCAGAAACAGACAAGGATAAAACTAGAATAAAAGACCCTGAACACTGAGTTCCTGCTTGATCCTGTGATTTCTAAATTGCTGCTGAGGCAAGAAAATCACTATAACTTTGTTCACTGGAGAGGTAGCTTTTCTTTTAGCCATGCCAGTAACCTCCATGCACTCAGCAAAGCACCTTCCATCAGAGCAAGAAACAGTGGCATTCAGCCACTCCTCAGCCTGGGAGTGTGCAGTGCCAAGGCCTTTCTGGAAGTGAAAATTATGATGAATCCTCCCTTTTGTCCTGAAGGAAAGGAGATGAGAAGAGAAAGGGATATTACTTCTCCAACAAAAGGAGTGAAAGAAAGTAACAGGACCTCAAACTGACCAAAGCAGTAGTCACCGGAGCATCCTAGTGCCATGAGAGAAAGAACTGGGAGATCGCCTAGGACATGGATTCCAGACTCTGCTTTGACTTGCATAGAGTAAAGGTGAAAACTGAATTGTTCTGCATCTCATTTTGTGTCTTGCTTTCTATCTGAGGCTAAGAGAAAGACATGAGGCAACTTTGCATGTGTTTAGGAAATAGGACAGCTGTTCTGTGAGCAGCCCTGAGAATGATCCCAAAGACCTGTACTGTCAAGCTATGGTCTCACACCATAGCTTGGTGTGTGGGCACCTTGGCACCTGCAACGCCTGAGCTCCTACTTTTGCACCTTGGATGTCAGCATGGCTGTCCCAGGAGCCAAGTTCATTTGTATGTGCCCGTCTGTGGTGCTGAATGTTCACATAAGCAAATTGGCACACATTCATGTGGGACTGTCTGCGTGTGTGTAGGCACATTGCTGTGTGATGCACAGAGCCCATGTCTCTGCATAAAGGGGCCTTGGGCTTCATGAACCAGGTGGGCTCAAGCTCTTCTTCAAGTTCCAGTACATCAGAGACTTCATCATAATTAAAGAGTAGAAGTCAGGAGAGTGAAGGAAAAACAGGAGCTGATGTGACAGTGCTGGGAACTGGTGAAGGTCAGAGAAGTAGGAAGACTGCTGGATGGGGATCTCAGATGCTAACTGAGTCCTGTGAGAGCTAGTGGGTTTCAGAGAGACTAGGATAATGCAAGAGAAACTATTGATTGATTGGCAGTGGTGGCCAAGCAGCCTCAGGAAGGCTGGTGCAGGGCCAAGAGACACCTGGGGACTCTTGAAGGCAGGGGGTACCAGAGGAGGATTATGGGTCTCAATGCAATGTAAAGGGAGGGCTGGCAGAGGCTGAAGGGGCCAGGCAGATCCTAGGGTGGGTGTGGAGGCTGGGAGCTGTGCAATGATGTGACCCTGTCATCCTTTTTCTGCTCCTCATTAGAGTCCCCTGAGCGGAGCAGGCTGTGAAGGGGTCTGCACTGAGGTATGTCCTTATGGCTTCCACCAGGATACCACAGCTTATGTGTGCGCCAGGGGATGGGACATGGGAGGAGGCTCCCAGCACAGGGAGCGGAGTGGGTGCCATAGCCTCTGCAGTAACGAGGGTGAAAAACTGGGGTGCCTCTGCCCCCAGAGGAGTTGAGAATTTGGAATACGGTCACCGAGGGTTATTTTAGAACAATATTTCTTCTAGCACGCTGGTTCATTGCTAACTTTTCCCCTTTCTTCATGCCCATCCCTTTAGCTCTCCCTTCTGATCCATGTCTACTGTGCCCAGCACTGTTTGAAGCTGTATGCTGCGGAGACCTTTCTTGCATCCTCATGGGGTTACCTGTGTGTGAAAACTGTGCCACAGTTACCTGGGGACTCCTGTGACCTAAAGCTGTGAACTGGGGGCAGGAGGGACCTGCTGACAAGGGCAGGGCCCTCAGTACAGTGTGAATGGGTTTTTGTTCGCTTCTTCTTCCAGGAATGAGGGACTGACACTTGGTCAATTTGTTTTCGAAGGATGGGGCTATATGTGCCACTGTATATCTAGTGGGAAGGCGCAAGTGTGGGGACATGCTCTGAGCTGAATGACCCCTTTACAGCACCTGAAGACAACGTGGTGGGCTCCAGAAGGGTAATTCAGGCAGTTTGTGGGTGATCCAGAAGTTAAGCATGGTTGTGAGATGTCCCGACTCAGCTGCTATGAAAGGCTTGAGTTTGCTGTAGGTCCTGTAATAGCCCCATAGCTCTCAGATCCTCGGAGCACCTGAGTAAGTCCTTCTGTTAGTTTACAGGTCTCTTTGGGGAGTCAGCAGTGTAGTGGAGTGAGCGCCTGGATGGAGAGGTATAGGGACTATCCTGATGCTGAATTGAGTGCTCCTATGTGCTGAGAGGAGAACTTCCAAAAGCCTGTTGGGAGGAAACAGGATGGATCTGAACATGCAGCTGGCTGAGGGCTGCCTCACTCCACTGGATGCCACGCATTCCTTGGGAGGAGGCACCGCAGAGCAGAAGCCAGGACAGCCTGACTGGCCCAGAAAGAGGACTCCCTTACTGGGAAGAATTCTGTGGCCTGACTCAGTGCAGTTTCTGTGCTTTACTTTTAGTTTCAGCAATAAGTGTACAAGTAGTTCCTGGCCCTGCAGTGGCTATGAACCGGAAGGGAGATTTGCAATTGAGAGTCTCAGGGTGGACTGAGGTCATGAGAAACCCTCCCTTCATCTCAGCATCAGCAGCCGGCTTGATCTGCTGTCACGTACTGATGGCAGTGGGCAGTGATGTGTCCCAGGTGGTGGCAGTGGGCTGTGTTGTGGCCCAAGCAGTGACTAGAGAGAAGCAGTAGGTACGTGTCAGATGTCTAAGAAAGCTTCTGCATTGGTCACAGGAGAGCAGATAGCACACAAGGCAGCCCATCTGCTGGCTGGGCAAGGGTATCACTTGGGTCTGTGATGCCTGTTGGATGGACACTTACTTGTGCTTGGCAATACTTAGTTTTGGCCTCTGGAGACTTGTGATAGATACTCCCTGTGTAAAGAATATGTGGCTGAGGCTCAGGAAGGCCTTGTAATATCCAGGTAGAGAGAGAGGCCAGTACCTGTAGATACCAGGGCATGACGAGAATGGGGAGTAAGTGGTGGTCAGAGTTTCTTGGCTATGTCAGAAGCAGGGAGTTATTGATGCTCAGGGATACCTGCTTCTCTCAGGGGTAGGTGCTTGATGGGCAGAGAAACTTGGGCACTTCTAGGACAGGGATTCATTGGTTTCAGATACATCCAACAGCACTGGGGGGTAGAAATGATTTTGCCACTATGTTCAGGCATGTCAGACTGCAAGGGAGACCAGCTGATGTCTAAGGACTTCTGATTGGGCGTGGGGAAGGATGTCTCCTGTCAATGCATACTTGGGCCACAGGCTTGCACGTGGCCTATGATGCCTGATGGTGAGGAGGGTAGGACTGTCCAAGATGACTGGGGAGGCAAGAGCTAGGACATAGCTGATATTGGAGAAGGCTGGCTGCTTTCTGGACTTATGCCTGTTTTTTTCTGGAACACAGAAATATAAGTGCTTGGGGAGATCTGGCAGTGCACAGGCACAGAATGTCTGAGGCTCAGGATATCTGGCTGTACCTCAGGGCAGTGAAGAGCCTGACTGTGGCCAGGGAAGGGAATGGCAGTTCCCTAAGGATTCCTGCCTTTGCACTGCAAAGCTTTCACTGGTGCCCAAATGTGCCTGGACCAAGGAGATTCCCAGAGCCTGGGAAGGCCTGGTGGTACCCATGGTTGCAGGCTGACCAGTCCTGTGGCGGCCTGTTTCCTGCTGTGCAAATCCAGCCTGTAAAGTTCCCACTGTTTAGACCTCATCATCAAAAGAGGTGGGGTCAGTGAGCTCTGTACCACGCTGTGCCTGATCAGTTCTTCCACACTCACCCACTGCAGGGAGGGTGCTTAACCAGAGAGAGCTGGAGCTGCGACCTTGAATAGGAAGCAGCAACTGTCAGGACTCTTGGGTTCCCTTCCCAGCAATTCTTCATTCCCTGGGTGGCCGTGGGCCTGACTGTGTCCCGGGCACTCCTTCCTTCCATTGGCAGAGGGTGCTGGTATGATAGAGCGATCCCGGCTCTGCTGGTCATCCTCTGTGTGACAGTTCATTGTTTCCCAAGGGGCCACGGATGTGAGCTCCCAGGAGAACAGAGATGCTGCTATAGTCTGGGAGACTGGTCTGCCTGATCGTCTCATGGGAAGGTCCCTGGGGAATTGAAGAGGGCTCATTGTGCCCCTTCCCAGGGGTGCAGTTGTGGTGGGAAGCCCTGTAGAAGCACACTCTCCAAGAATGCCACGTGCCCCACCTTGTGGAGTCAGGACAGCCCAGTGCCCCCAGCTTGCTCCAGCTTCACATCCCGATGCTGTGGGGCCCGGGCATGTGTAACGATACTCTTGCTTGCTTCTCTACAGATCTCCGGCCTCTGCCTGATGTAGCCATGACTGGGACCTGTACCCGGGAATGCACAGAGTTCGGCCACTCCGACACCTGCTGGATGCCTGGCCAATCCTCCCCCAATCGCAGGCCCAAGAATGCCCTCAAACTCTCCACTTTTGTGCCTTACCAAGATAGAGGGAGTCAAGAGCAAGTTGGGAATGGCAGCCCCAGACTCTCAGAAGAGCGCAGCACCAAAATGGCCAACCTCCGCCTGCTCCCCACGTACAGTGCCTTCTCCAATAGTAGCCATGAGCCCTGCAAGGACTCTCCCATGGAGGAAATTCCTCTCACCCAGACCTCGGACTTCCAACCAGCCACTACCCCCTCATCCCAAACCACCAAGAGGGAGATATACCTGTGAGGCTGGGCCTGAGGGGCAGGGAGCAGATGTGCTTCTGAGGCCAGCGTCCAGAGGAACATTTTAAACTTTAATGCTTTATTGCTCCTGCAGCTGGTTCTCCAGGTCATGGGCGAGATGCCCCAGGGGCTCTGAGGACAGCGGGGGGGCAGGGCAAGGCAGGGATGAAAGGGACGCCTTTTTAACCCATTGTTTTCTGGGGTGGGGTGGGTGGGAAGGATTAACACATCCAAAACCTAAGGAATTTCCAAGCACTTGAGGGTGCATGTCTCTGAACTGCTGCCTCGGGGAGGGCTGGGCAGGCTCCTAGTGCAGAGGGCATGTCTGGGGAGAGGGCTTACTTACCAAAGGTCCATGCAAAGCTGGTGGAGTTCCTGGGGCATAGGACGAAGTGTGTCTCCACGCACAGAGAGTGAGCTGCCTGTCTTTTTCCTGTAGACTCCTGTAAATATGAATCTTAGGAATGACATTCAAGTCCTGCCTGACTGAAACTTTTATTGTTCTTGAAACAAAAGACATTTAAACAAAAACAAACCACAGGGAGCAAGTTCCAGCTTTGAATGGTTTGCTGCGTGGAAGAGCCCATTGGAGCACAGCTTCCGGCCCACACTCATGTTCTATATTGTAAATAGAGATGTGACCAGTCCCTGAAACAGCAGCTGGGGAGCTGGAGATGAGGGGCAGTGTCCTAGTGGGACTGTAGGGACTTCAATTTTTTTCAGCCTGGATCTCTTTCCGTACGTTGTCACTGTGCCCACAAGCTGTAGGGTCCCTAGAGACTGCCCAGTGCCACAAACGGGTTCTGCATTGGGGATTCCCTTTTGGCTCTGTGCCCAATGGGTGGAGGAGGGATGGGGAAGCCCCCCTTCAAGGGATTGGCTCGGTCCATAGAAGCCCTCAGTCCAACTCTGCTGGCAAGGAGGTCGTCATTGGCTGTGGCATCTCAGCCTATCGCCTTGTGCCTCCTCCGGGGCAGGGGATGCCCATGAGGCCGGCTGTGCCACGCCTTCGACCTCCGTCCTGTCCGCCTGTAAGCCACCATTGCCTTTGTGAGGAGGAGCTTTGTCTCAGGGTCACATTGGGGGCCGCTAAGCCCCTGTCTGCTGGAGTCCCGCTGCCCTTAGGCCACAGGCCCACTCTCAAGGGCTCCAGCTTTCTCTTCCATTGTCAAAGGTCGACCAGTCTCACCAGGCTGGTCCCCTGCTGCCCTTCCTATGGCGCTGCCCTGCCAGGTGCCAGCAGTCTCAGCTCCCTTGCAGAGTACCAAACCAGGGCGACGCAGCACATGTGACGGGGATAGTGCGCCTACATGTCTCCAGAGAAACTCACCTTGCTCCCGAAGGTGTAAGCCCAAGGGGGAAAGCCTGGCGATGCCTGGGTGCTTTTCTGAGTCCCTCTGATCACTTGGCTGCCTAAGAGCTGAGCTGGGAGCTGGGACACAGTCCTGTTTTGGGGGGCTCTGTGTGCCACCCAGCTCTAGTCACCTGTGCCCTGCTGCCAGGGCAGCAGTAGGAGGGCTGGGCACTCACGCCTCATTCTCTCTTCAGTAGCCCTTCCCAGTCCTCGTCTAGCAGGGATGCTGGGAGGGGCTGCGCTGCACCATTGTTCTTCCCATACTAGCTCTTCAGTTGTCTTCATCTCTAGGATCTTCCTTAGGGAGTAAGGCCAGTGGTAGCTGTAGGACAATGTCCCCTCTTGTTCATCTTCAGTCCACATCAGACCTTTATACACAGGGGACCAGCCAGGGCCCCAAGGGTACCCACCTGTGTTAGGGCATTGTGTGTGTGCAGGCAATGGCCTGCAGGTGGCCTTTTCACTGTGGGGCTCACAGATGGCTCTGCAGGGCACGACCAGCACTGGGGGCTTACAGTAGGGCAGGCCACCCCAGCATCCACCCCCACCAGTTGCTGAAGGTCAGAGACAGCCCTGCCATAGCTGTAGTGCCTGTTAGGGTGTGGAGCCCCACGGGACCTCCCTCTCCTCTCCCTTTGCTTTGACCGTGATGGTAGGATGTGGCCAGCTCCCTCGTATAGCTTCCTCAGGTCTCTGAGACCTGAGGAGACTAGGTAAAAACTGAGCCAGGCCTTGAGGTGACAAGGGACAGGGAAGGGCAGCAGAAGGGCAGCAGCAGGCCCAGCTTCCCACTGCCTGGTCTCACCTGCTCCCATATGCCCTAGTCCTGCTCCTTGCCTTCCTCGGGCAATGCAGTGGAAGGCTGTCACTCACAGCCCCAACATGATGAGATGCCATGCAGAGGAGGCAGGACCCTCCTCCCAGCCTCCTGTTGCTGCTCCCTCCGGATCGGACACAGGTCCGGCGATCCCTGGGGGCAGGTGCGTTGCCTCCAGGTGGATATCCGTCCAGGAGTTCCTGCTCTACCCTTCCCCGTGGTAGCCTCACTGTGGGGCTCATGTTCCCCTGGCCTGGCTGCCTGAGCAGGTCACGTTGCTGAACATGTTTTTATTGTAGCTCTGTAGTTTCAGGGCCTAACTGGGCAGAATGTGCAATTTGGCCATACAGGCCAGGATCTTTGACTCCACTGCCAACTCGACTGCTCATGCCTCCCCTCGGCTCAGGCAGAGGCAGTGTCCAATGTTCCCCTTGGGACCCCCCCCCCTCAGAAGAGCTACGTAGTCCAGATCTGAGGGGTGCTTGTCCAAGACTAGCTTCCCCAGGCTGTTGCCTGCAGGTGGGCAACCTACCTTCTGTTCAGGGTCACCAAAGGGACCCTGAAGCTCAAAGCCCTTTGGTTAGGGGCTACCCAGGGCGCCCCCACAGTCAGTCTCCTGGAGCATCTGGCTATGTTTCTCAGTGCGAGCATGTTGCAACTGGGTTGAGTGAAGAGGGGATGAGTCCCCAAGGGAGTACAGAGGGAGTGGGAGGGTGGGTCTGGGAGGAGTGTGCAGAGGGCCAGTGGGCATGGGGATGAGTCCCTGGGGAGTGCACAGGGGGGTGGTGGGGCTGAGTAGTTGGAGGGGAGCACAGCAGGGAAAGGGTATGGGTTTTAGGGGGATGGAGAGGGAATGGGTGTCTAAGGGGAACATAGCAGGGGTGGTAAGTGTGGGTCTGTGTGGGAAGAACAGAGGGCACAGTGGGACTTGGTCCTGGCGGGGGATGCTGAGGGGATGGATTCTTTGGGGGGGTTCAGTGGGGACACGTCCCTGGGGAGGAAAAGGTGTTGGACATTGGTCCTGAAAGAGGGGGCACCGGGAATTTGTCCTGGGGTGAAGCTAGAGATGTCACTGAAGATCAGTTCTGGAGGAGGGCAAAGAGGTGCTGTCAGAAAGAAGCTCATTTGCACAATTATAAGCCAGAAGGATAAAGCCTCTGTGCACGTAGTGGGAGGAAGTTCCCCACGGGCTCCAGTCTAGACAAGCACAGTGAAGAGGAGGGGGAGTTTTAAGCCTCTGTGAAGGGGTTCACTGTATCTAACGCTGCACTAGGACAAGCCAGGGGTAAAACCAAAGGTGGGAGCCAGGGAGCAGGCGGGCTGCGTGGGAAGGATCTAAGCGACCCCTTTGTAGCTCTTCAGTGTTGGTTCTATTTATACGAGATTTCATTTCCTTGCTTGTGATGCCTTGTTTTTTGTACAGTTTTATGTACATGCAGGTGTAGCTTTTCTAAAGGAGAAATCCTATGGCAGAGTAAAGTACCCAACTATTTTTCAGATGGTGACCCATGTCTAAGGCAATGCCTCTTGCTAAGGTTGTATTGCTCTCAATGTGTGATGCATTTCCCTGTGCGGGGAAGGCTTTGGGCCTTGGGCTTGGTTTTCCCCGGGCGCTGTGAGCACAATTGATTCCCTTGTAATTCTTTCTGTTCAGAGCAGTGAGCATGACACCGTCGTGATCCCCTTTCTGTTCTCTCCTGTTCTGTTTGTTTGCTGAGCTGTCAGATGACCAACTCCATTGTAATTAGCCCTTCCTAAAGCTTTACAATAAAAGTGTGAAAACCTGAGTGCCTCTGCCTGCCGGATTCTTCCCACTTGTCACAGCCTTGGAGGTGTCCTGTGGCGTCACCAGAGAGGAAAGCACGTGCAACAAGTGAAGGACAACCCTGTACCTCATGTGCCCCAGAGCCTCTAGCTGCTGTGGGGAGATACCTGCTCCTGCTGCTCATCTCCTGATGCAAGGTGCTCTGCCTTGCCCTCTCTTGTCTTCCCTGTTCTGTTTTCCAACTCATGGGTGTTGCACGGATGAAAGTGAGATAATCTTTCAAAGTAACTTAACACAGACCCGCCTCCTTTATTTAAAACCAAAATGTTGCAGGGAAAAATTATCTTCAGCCCCAAGCCAGCCTGCACCTCTGTTTGCATCCAGCTACGCTGGGAACTGGAGAACAGTCCCAACAGCCAGTTCCAGACTTCCTCCCTCCTCTGTCACTGCTTCTTGGAGACTTGATGCGATTCTCACCCTTCCACCATCTTCTTTATCAAGTGGGGTTTTTTTAGGTTGATTAGACCCTTTCAAAACAGCCATGCCACTTCAAAGCAGGGCATGTTTGTGGCTACTCCCTACGACAGCTGCCAGGAGCTTGCTCAGCTGTAGCTAGTGGGTTTTCCTGCTTGTCTTTTTGCACAGACTCATGTTAGACAAGATTGATGACCGTACAGAGTAGTTTCTTAGTTCAGAGTAGAGAAGCTTCCCCTCATAGGTCAGGTCATATATGGGTATTATTATAAGTCTCAGCCATCTTAGGCTCTTGCACTGCACTGCACCTCCATTGCCCTCTTGTCCTTCTGAAGCTGTGCTGTAGGGGCAGAGCTTGCCATGGTCTTAGCACCAGGCAAAGGCAAGAAGCACTCCTTGGAGCTTGGAAGCCAATTCTAAGTGTCCCTGGGAAGGAAGAGTTTCCAAATGAAGATACAGATGATTGTTCCCATGGTGGGATTTTGTAGAAATTCCTTTCCTACTATCCTTTTCTCCTTGGTCTCTCCTCTGGGCCATGCAGAGGGGAAACAAGTCTCCCACACTCCTCCTGATGCCTGAAGAGTCATGGCCAAGCTGCTCTGACCCTGTGACCCAGAGCTCATGGGTGGTAGTGTCCTGGCAGATGTCCTCTGGCTCTCAGCTGCCTCTCTGAGCAGGCACACAGCAGTTGAGCAGCAGGGATCTGTCTCCAGGAGTCCTAAATAACCAAGTGGCCTTGCTGCTTGCTGATGCCTCATTCCAGGGAGGGAGCATCCAGATGGTAAGTCCAAGAGGATGGTGGCAGAGTCCCACAGCTGGCATAGGGGGACAGGTAGCACAGATAGCTGCACTGAGCTGTCAGTACCCACCTGCCCCCAGGTGAACTGGGATGACCAAAGAATGTTTTTCTAAGCAGAGGCACAGTACCAGGACCTCTCTGTCCCTCCTGAAAATGTTTGGCCTTCTGCTGTGCCCTACATTCGTTCCCCATTCTCCCTTTCTTCTCCCCACACTCAGCCCAGCCTGTGCCCATGCCATGGCCCGTTTGTTCTTCCCATTCATGCCTCCTTCCCCTCCTCTGCTCTGCCCTTCTCTATGTCCCCCAGCATGCAGCATCCTGCCTGCTCCCAACACCGCCTCCATGCCCTTCTTGCCTCTCCCACCGTACTCTGCTGTGCTCCCTCTTGTACCCTCATGCCCTTCCCTGGCTCCCTGCACTCTCCCCACTCTCCACCCCAGTGTAGCAAGCCTTCCCATTCCCTGTGCTCCTTTTCTCCCCAACCCAGCACAGCTCTGAGCACCGAGCTCCTCTTTGCACTGGTCTGGAAACTGTATGGTTTCCATGGCAGCAAATGTGGATTGCTGGGGCTGGAAGGGGCCTTGCAGATGCTGCTGGTGAAAGAGGGCTCTGTGGGGAGCAGGATGCGTGCTCTTGAGCAGCAGTCACTGGTGTGCAAGAAGAACATGGGCCGCTCCTGACTGCAAACCTGCTGTATTACCCCCTGGGGCATGCCAGCCTGGGCCAGATATAGGTTCTGTGACAAAGAGGGAATCCCATGCCAGAGCCTCATGGGGAAATGTGCCTGCCTCTCCCATGGCTATGAGCAGGGACAAGTGTGCCTGCAGTAGCTCCTGCCCTTCTAGAGGCAGCAGCTCTGTTCCTGCTGCAGCAGCACAGACCCAGAGCCACAGCTCCCAGCCAGTCCACTCACCTGCACTGGGCCCATTGGATGGCCCGGCCCCGGCATTTTCAC